TATATCACGTTTTTTTTATTCATTTATCTGTTGACAGATATTTAGGTCGTTTCCATATCTTAGCTATTGTGAATAATGCTGCAATGAACATGGGGGTGCAGATAGCTCTTCGAGATCCCGTTTTCATTTCCTTTAAAAATATATCCAGAGGTGGGATTGCTGAATCATATGGTAGTTCTATTTTAATGTTTTGAGGACTCCCCGTACTGTTTTCCATAGTGGCTATATTAATTTACATTTCTGCCTACAGTATGAAAGGTTCCTTTTTCTTCACATCCTCAGTGACTCTTATCTCTTGTCATTTTGGTGAAAGCTTTTCTAACAGGTATGAGGTGATATCTTATTGTGGTTTCGATTTGCATATCCTTCGTTATTAGTAATTTTGAGCATCTTTTTATGTAGCTATTGGCAATTCCTATGTTTTCTTTAGAAAAATGTCTATTCAGTTTCTCTGCCTATTCGTTAATTGGAATTGTAATTTTTTTGTCATCGAGTTGTATGAATTCTTTATATATCTTGGATATTTAACCCCCTGTCAGATATATGATTTGCAAATATTTTCTCCCATTCCATAGGTCTCATTTTCATTTTGTAGCTTGTTTCTTTTGCCGTGCAGAAGCTTTAGTTTCATATAATCCCTCTTATTTAATTTTGCTTTTGTTTCTTATGCTTTTGGTGCCATATTTGAAAAATCATTGCCAAGACCAATGTCCATGAGCTTTTTGCCTATGTTTTCTTCAAGGAATTTTGTAGTATTGGTTCTTATGTTTAAGTCTTTAATCCATTTTGAGTTAATTTTTGTGAGTGGTGTGAGATAGGGGTCCCATTTCATTTTTCCACATGAGGTTATCCTGTTTTCCCAACACTACTTAAAAAATGAAGAAATTAACATTTGAATATTCTTGACTCTCTTGTCAAATATTAGTTGATTGAATATGTGGTGCTTTATTTCTGGGTTCTCTATTTTTATGCCAGTACCTCGCTGTTTTGATCACTATAGTTTTGTACTATAGTTTAAAATCATGAACTGTGATGTCTCCAGCTTTGTCGTTCTTTCTCAGGATTGCTTTGGCTATTCAGGGTCTTTTGTGGTTCTGTATAAATTTTAAAATTGTTTTTTTTCTATTTCCATAGAAAATGCTATCGCTATTTTGATAGGGATTGTATTGAATCTATATACGGCTTTAGGTAATGTGAACATTTTAACAAAATTAATTATTTGAATCCAAGAACACAGGATATCTTTTCATTTCTTTGTGTCTTTTTCAATTTATTTCATCAAAGTCTTAATAGTTTTCAGTATATAGGTCTTTTATTTCCTTGGTTAAATTTATTCCTAAGGATTTTATTGTTTTTGATGCTATTGTGAATGGGATTGTTTTCTTTATTTCTTCTTCAGTTGCTTCAATGTTAGCATATAGAAACACAACTGATTTCTGTATGTTGATTTTGTATTCTGCAACTTTACTGAATTTGTTGATTAGTTCTAACAGTTTTTTTGGAGTGCTTAGGAGTTTCTATGTATAAGAATATATCATTTGTAATAAAAAAAGATTTTATTTTTTCCATTTCAATTTGAATGCCTTTTATTTCTTTTTCTTGCCTGATTGCTCTGACTAGAAATTCCAATACTAGGTTACATGGGAGGGGTCTGAAAAAGAGGATTACTCTGACATTTCAAGATGCACAAGAACAATGAACAGGGCTTGCTTAAGGCAAAGATAAGCCTTTTACTAAGGAAATTACAGCCCTGGGGTGTGACTACCCACACTACCTGCCCAGTTAGGAATTGTGATCAAATCACCCTGTGAGGTTACTTTCAGTCACTTGAAAATTTCAGATTTATTACAGAGCAACCTTTTCATTCAGAGACTAAAAACTTTTATTAAGAAAGACCCAACACCACAGTCAAGCAAATCACACTCCTTTTGTGTACATGATGTGCAGGGCATTTAACGGGTAAGATCTTTTTATTTACTTTGGTAAGACGTTAATAGACTGAATAGAATTTGCCAAAATTTACATTTGCATTGTCTGCTGAATACGTAGATGGGTAAGCAAAATCTAGTTTGTATTTCAATAAGATGTCAACATGCTTTTGTTTTATATTTTCCTTAGTTTCATTAAAATCTTCACAGAAATCAAGATAATTCAAAACTCCAACTTTTGAATTAAAGTATCTAAGAGCTAGAGGGAACAAATATTTTTTGTCGTTGTTGTCATAATCAGACAAATCAGTAGATACATTGTAGAAAGTAGGATTATTGGGAAAATCTGGCAGCTTGACACTGCAAGGGACCAACATGTACCTTACCAAACTTTCCCCTTGTTGTGTCCAGAATAACCAGACCCAACCTGAGTGCTCTTAACCAGGAGACAGTTTATTAGCCGGCGGCTGTCCTTGCAAAGGAGCAGCCCCGAATTGCCAAGATACAAGGTTTTTAAGCCTCAAATCCCATTCCTCATTCTGTCTTAAACACAAAGGTCCATCTTTCTCCTATTCATTACCTGTCAACCCACTGGTCAGGTGTGCAAGCGGGTAGTACAGATGCTGAATCAGGAAATGTAACATTACTTAGTGTATTCTTTTTTAAAAAAAAAAATTTATCTTATTATTAGTTTCAAGTATACAGTACATTGGTTAGACATTTAGAATATTAGTTTTTTATTGCTGCTATAATAAATCAGCACAGACTTTACCACTTAAACAACATTAATTTAATATCTTATAGTTTTGTAAGATAGAAATATCCTACAGGTCTCATTGAGTGGGCTAAAATCGAGGTGTTAACAGGATCGTATTCCCTTGTGGAGGCTCTAGGGGATAATCCATTTCCCTGCCATTTTCAGCCTCTAGAAACCACCCACATTCCTTGGTGTGTGACCCCTTCTTCTAAGAATAGCAACACTGGCTTCTTCAAAGCCAGCAGCACTGCATCTCTCTGTGCCTTTCTTCCATAATCACACATTCCTCAGACTGAACGTTTTACTTTTAAGTTTTCTGATTATGTTGGGCTCACCTGGATAAGACAGAATAATTTCTCTATTCTAAATTTCCCTATTCTGATTAGCAAACTTAATTACATCTGCACCCTTAATTTCCCCTTGTCATGTAACCTAACATATTCACAGGTTTTGGGGATTAGGATGTGGACTTCTCTAGGGGGAGGGCATAATTCTGCTGACCATTCAGTTTCATAATAATAATCAAGGAAATGATATGATAATGGATGTTCACTCAAGTAGTATTCTCAGATCAATTCAGCAATCACAGTTTTCCAAGGAGCACTGTGATCTTTAAAAATAATTTAAAAAAAATTTTTTAAAGAAGTTTTA